TCTTTTTTACTCTTTTGATAAAGTCTTTTGGTGAGCATACGTATTTAATATTTAGGAAGTCCCAGTTATCTAATTTGTCTTCTGCTGCTCTTGCATTTGTAGTTGTTTGATAATCTATCCTTAAAAAAAACTAGGTCTCACAGTTTTGTCTTTATGTTTTCTTCCAAGAACTTTATGGTTTTAGCTCTAACATTTAGGTCCATGATCCATTTTGAGTTAGTTTTTGTGTATGGTGCGAGATATGGGTACTGTTTAATTTTTCTGCATGTGGATGTCCAGTTTTGCCAGCACCATTTTTTGAGACTGTTCCTTCCACATTGAGTGGTCTTTGACTTTTTGTCGAAAATTAGTTGTGTATAGATGGATGGATTTATTTCTGGGTTCTGAATTTTATTCCACTGGTCTGTGTCTATCATTGAACCAATATCAGGCCTTTTTGGTTCCTGTAGCTGTATAGTATGTTTTGAGGTTGGGAAGTATAAGGTCTCCTGCTTTGTTCTTCTTCCGTATTGCTTCGGCTATTTGGGACCTCTTTCCTTTCCTTATAAAGCTGGTGATTAGTTTTTACATTTCAGTAATGAATGTTGTTGATCCAGTTAAATCTTAAACACAGAGCTTTGGCAGACCTAAAAATGGAATGTGAAAGACCATCTTTTTCCTTGTCCTACCTTTAGCTATACCCCAGGGCCTTCTAATGAGTGTCCAACATAGTTTATTTTATAAACTGAGATCTGGGGTTCTGCTAATTGAATAACTCAGGGTAGTTATTCTTTAGGAAACACTGAAGCATTGCCCATTCTGGGTGACCTGTTCCAAAAATGAGTTACCTAGTCATTAGGTCTTAGATTGCTGACTTTTCTGTTTGCCACACATTTGGGGGTGGTTTTACTTAGTGTTAGGTGTAATGACAGACACTTCCTTCTCTTATTCTGTGGTAAAATCATGTCACATGCTTATTTAATTTAAACAAATTCAACATAAGTGCTGGGAGAAAAATGAAATACAGTAATTAAAAATATTTTACATATGCATTTTTATTATTAGCAGTTCATTATTATATACAATACAGTAATTTAATTTTTTTGTTTTGTGTTTTATTGAAGTTTATATAATAGTACAATTCAGTTTTTTTGGAGTATAGTTCCATAATTGGACAGTTACAGTCTTGTAACCACCACAGCCAAGATACAGAACAGTCGCGTCGTCAACCCTCAGATCTCATCGTGTCTCTTTGTAGTTGTTCCTGTTCCCACTCCCAGCCCCTGGCAACCACGGATCTGTTTCCTGCTCTAAAGTGTTTGCAGTATACATTTTCATTTATACATGATATGTACGGGTTTGTATACATAAAGCCACGTGTATAATATTTTTTGGGTGATTAGGGACTATTTGAGGGTAATTTTAATTTGATGTAATTTTCTCATCACCATGGTTTTAGGACCTCCCTGACTAGTTAAGTTAAAAACAATTGCCTTCAGTGTCATTCTTCCTCTTGCCCTACTGTCAATGCCACGGTACTTCAAGTGAAGATTAGAAATGCCCTCGTGCCCACTGCTGTTTAAAGCATCCTGGTTTTATTCTTTACAGTAGAGAGAGTTTGGGCACACAAAATTTTTCCTGTTTGTACAAAATAGCATGAGAACGTGCTTACATTCTGTAAGGAAACCTCACTGTTGAAAGAGTCGTCTATGATAAAGATGTAAAAATGCTGCATAAAGTCTTTGGTGTTTATATTGTACTTGATCAAGTGACCAGCGCTCAGAGGATTTCCCATGAGCTTTGTCTAGGGAGCTGGGCGGCTTTTGGAAATCTCTGCATACAGACTCTTCAGCGTCTTAAGGAACGTATCAGAAGTTACCTGTTGGATTAAGTGATTCTGTTGCATTTTATCATGGCTCTGGTGTCGGCTTTGCTCGGGCACAATCGTGTTGAGTTCTTGTGCTGCAACAAACTCCCTTCATAGCTCCTGCAGGTCAGGGCTTTCTACCTGCAGGTGTCGCTGTAGTTAACAGAATGATAACATCACATTTGCCTGTGGTAGGATGGGGACAGTGAACCACAAGAAAATCTCTATAAGGCTGGGCTGGTTCTGTGCTTTTCTCGCAAAAAGGATTCTTTAGAAAAGAAGAAAAAGGAAAAAAAAAGAATAGCATCCAAGAATGTAGATTTTCTTGGAAATGGAAAACATTTGTCTTTGTTCTGAGTGCTGGAACTGAGTGTTCTTTTTTGTCCATGTATAAGGGAAAAGGCGTTCTAATGGTGTTGGTGCTGAATGAGCAGTGCTGTGGACCTGGGCCCAGCCAGGCTCAGCACCCCTGCAGGCTTAGTAATAGCAGCAGCATGAGAAGAATGTGTTATGTATCTACTTAAAATATTAACCACTTCTAGTAAAAGCCTGACAGAACACGGGCATGTTAGAAACTGTTAACTTTGCTTCCTGTCAGGAGTGTTACCAAGGGGCTCTAGTGTACTTTCTCTTGTTTTGTGTGCCCTGACCTTGTGCCCAGCTGTTACAGGGATCTGGGTGCTTCTTGGGAAGGGAATGGCATACTTTGAAAGAGAAGCTGCAGGCTTTGTAATAGCGTCTTTAGTAGATAATTCATCTTCATCATACTTCTCTTTATCAACCCCAGTGTGTGTGCTGTTGCCACTGTGTTCTCTGTCTTCAAAGCCTGGCCAATCTCGCCTTATCAGCAAAGCTTTCCTAGTACTTCTGTGCTTCTCCTTTTCCCCCAGCAGTTAAACCCATCTCATCTGAGCCTGTATTTCATTTTGCCTTGTCTGATTATAGCTAGCTCTTCCCATATCCTTCAGTGTTTGGGGGTAGAGGCCTTTCAGCCTCTCTCACCTCCCAGCCTTGTGTAAAGTGAGCATCCCAGTGTGTGTGGGACTGCATTTCTTAGAGGCTTTCCTTTGGCCTTGCTGGCCCACCTGTTATGGCATGTGCCCCTTGGTGTACTTTCAGGAGTGCCGTTGGGAGAGCAGCCTGCTTTACGTGCAGCGGCCTTCC